AGTCTTCGTACCTGCTCCATGGATACCCGTCGAAGGCAATCTCGCATACCATTGTAAGGGCGAGCCACTGCTCTTCCATGATTTTCGAGCTGCAAAATAAGAGTTCCAGACAGAGTTACAGGCAAAACTCGTCGCCCTAGGCGGATGCTAAACACACTCCTCTCGCTTTGTAGGCGGCTGCGCTACAGATTACAGTTGAGTATTGTTTCATTTTACCTCTCAAACATTGGTGAAAAAGAGCTTGACAACTTCAAAAAAAACATGTCAAAAATGTAAAGTAAAGTTTTTAACTTAAAAGCTTAGAGTTTCTTGCTTGTACGTCCCATATATAGTGTAAGATATTCGATCCAACGACTGCTGAAGATAGTGTAACTAATTCATACTTATCGATAGAAATTGCTAATGCAACTAATACAAATGTTTGGAAGAAGATGCAACATTATTTTTGCAACACCGCTGGACTGAGATGAGTTAGGCCGGTGTCAGACTTTGCCAATCGAGCAATCCGCTGGCCGCGACACCACCGCGGGCGTTAGTGAATCACTCGATTCAGAAAGTCTAATGTCAGCCTTGTATAGTTTCATACATCAAAGGTATAGCACATTGTTTATTTATTTATTTATTTATTTCCATACGTCCAGTGGACGCGCTTGGTAGGTATACAGAGCATATTCGAATAGAAATACTATCAGACGCTAAAAAGGCAGCAGTCGTCCTCAGTTGAGTCACAACAATTAATGACGGGTTAACGTCTGACTTAACCACCTTGTAAAAGACAAAAACGAGAGAGGGGCCAGTTCATATTGTTGCAATACTTTGCGCGGAATACGGTATCGTCAAATTTGGAGGGTTGAAGAAGCTCCGTGAAAGTGAACCATTATCCTTGCGCAAAACAAAACAGGTATCAATTGTATTAAATGTTAATAATAATATAAAATATTTATTAAGGTTGCAAATGCTCTGAAGTATCAAACACACCTTTATGCAGACCCAAACGCACTAGCGGAAATCGTGGAACGATCTGCAAACCCACCTTGCCTCTCACCAAAAATATTGCTCAGTAGCAAGTGTCAAAAGTTGTTCCCATGCTATACAACTCATGATAATGACTCACTGCAGGTTGTCGAGATGCCCTATGCTAAAGCTCAGCTGTTATTGTCGCAGTCAAGGGACAGCCAGCTGCTGATCTGGCTAGACTCTAGACCAAGACTCGGTCCTAAAAGATCAGGCATGCAGTGCCAAGCCTGCAAAAGGCTTGACAAAATTACGAATGTTGCGATTAGGTCAAGCCGCGACGTCGCGCGAATTTTAGAGGACGCCGCTGACGCCTCAACGACAAATATGTATTCCACTGGGGAGCATTGCAAAGCCTCGTAGCCGATATTAGGGTGTAGCGATTCAGAAATGCTTGAATTTCAAGTTTCGTACTTTAACGTTTCAATTCCTCAAGTTTTCTCATAAAAGTTTGTCTTTTCTGCCAACGGCTGAGAAACCCAAGGACAAGCCTTCGAACAGCTACTCCAGTAGCGGCCTTAACTGTATGATATGGATTTGAATGAAATGATTCATAAGTAAGCCTTGCTGTTTTATTTTAGTTGTAATGTAAGCTTTTTCACCTACACTCTTATTCAGTTCGTTTGCATTATCAAGTGTTGTGTTGTTCTATTGGGCTTTGCTGTATGCTCTCGCGCAAACTCCGTTCGCGTCTCCAGAAATAAAAAATA